CGCGCTTTTCAGCCGCCCTCCCATGGCTATTGGAAATGACCACTGTGGAAACAATGCAAACAGGCGGGCGGCGGGAAGGTTTAAGAGAAGGGCGCGCGCGGAGTTGAGGCAGAGGTGGCCGGCGAGCTACGGTCAAGGGTGCGCAGGGGCGACTTGGCGATTTCGCGCTTCTCGTCTGCTCGCGATCAAGCACGCTTGGGCGGGAGAAGGTTTTTCAGTTCGATGAAGCGCGTTTGGAAATTTCGGTCGCCAGTCGCTCACGGCGGCTGCGGCGACGAGGTTTTGGCGGTCAGCGTGGGTCGGATACTGTAGCACTGAACTCGGAGGCCTTGTGGCCTGCTGGCGTCGACCCTAACGGCCATTCTGCATTGAGAACTGTACATCCAGCGCGGGAAGACAGACAAATTATGGAGAGCGCAATGCGCGTATCGTAGAGGGTTGAGAACATGGTCCTGAGAGCTACACAAAGCAATGATATTTTGAATCGTTTGTAAATATGCGCATTAGAGCACTTGTTGCTTCTTCCGCACCAAATACAATAGACGCCGAGTGTACATGTGCAGCAAACTATTGTTGGCGGCACTGGATCGAAGAAAGAATAAATGCCATAATCGCAATACGCCATTATGAAAACATTTCCGAACCATCCAGATTAGCCGAAATCAGATCGTTTGAAGCCCCACTGGCTGAATTCTTGTGTCTCAGTTAGCACACCTGTCGATCTTCATTCTGCCGTGTCCTTGGACGCCAACACACCCCACACACACATATACACCAGGACAAACACGCGGAACGTCTTTGATGTTTCCCCTTGTACCGTTTGGGAAAGAAATGTGACTGATCCTCTAGCCCTAGTGGCAGTGCTTGCCATACACCGTCGAGGTACAGTTTGGCGGCAAGCAGCGTTATGAAAACTTGCTTGGTATGCATGAATTGCCATTGTGAACCATTCATCTCACAATGCAGCGCGATGCATCGTCACCCGTTGCGATGACTAGTTGTCACAGTAACAACCTATCATCCATTTGCACTTCCAATAGCAGCACTTGTTCGGGATTTGTTCTTTGGATCATGTCTCCTCAGCCTCTTTTCGGGCACATGTGCTGATCACATCAGCGAAATAACACTGAACTTCATGTACACGTTGTGCTTGAAAAATGTCTGAACAAATGATTGGCACCATATAGGCGATATCGGAATTTGCTTAAATGAATTCCACCTAATACTAGAACATTCAGAATGCTGCCGATGGTTACCAGCAAGACTCACGTAGATCCCTGTTTGCGGACTATCACAGACATCTGCAGCCTCCAAATGTCGCATGAAGAATCCATATTTCATTGCCAGCTAAGCTCCTGAACATATGTTTACCAATATCGCGGAAATCAAATGTTTTGGTGATGGCTGTGTACATTTTTTTGTCTGCCTCTAAGAGAGAGGGAAGAGGAGGCTCGAGGGCAACGTCGAGGGGGCAAGGTCGAGGCAAGGTCGAGGCAGGGTTAGGGTCAGGAGCAAGAGCAAGAGCAAGAGCAAGAGCGAGAGCGAGAGCGAGAGCAAGAGCAAGAGCGAGAGCGAGAGCAAGAGCAAGAGCAAGAGCAAGAGCAAGAGCGAGAGCGAGAGCAAGAGCGAGAGCGAAGGCGAAGGCGAGGGCGAGAGCGAGAGCAGGGGCAGGGGCAGGGGCAGGGGCAGGGCGAGAGCGATGTCAAGATCAAGGGCGAGAGCAAGGACAAGAGCGAGGGCGCTGGCCAAAGAGGCCAAACGGGGCACCCGCTAGAGGGTGCCCTGGCCGAGGTTGGCGCTGCGACATGAAGATGCGGACGGGGATGGTGGGAGGGTTGTAGTCGCACCCTCGTGAGGAGTCCGCAAAGTGCGGTGGCGTCGCCCAAGGGCTAGGAACCTTGGGGGCGCCGGGCCCTCCTCACTAGGAGGAGGGGGCCAGGCATGGAGGTGGGATGCCTGGCTAGGTGAGTTTAGTATCCTAGTTTAAGATACTGTTGTACAGTGATTTATGGAGTGCAGCATTGTGCGCATGATATTATGCCTGTGTGGCTCAGCAACATAATCGAACAAAGGAACACCCTTGTGAAACATGTTGCACAGATCACACGATGATTCAAAAATAATGCTGTTCACAAGTGGATCCCGTTTCCAAAAAAAGTTTCAAAGTTGTGAATTCCATCCCGCAGGGCACCGATTTCAGTTGACACGTCTCAAGAGGGAGGTGCACTGTAAGTGGAACCAGATGCGCATATTGATGGATCGTATGACGACAGTATTCGCACACTGGTCACAAGGGTAATCTGCATGCACGTCTAATTTTTAATAGATAAGATTTGTAGGCAGAACAGCGCAGCAAGATGTGCTGTATCAGATTTAGTCGGAATCCACCTAAAACTGCGCAGCATCATTTCGGTTCTTGGGATATTTACACCCTCGTTTGCACCACAGGCCCGCCATTAGAAACCTCTGGTTCAAGTTGCGCTCGGCACCGGGTGAAGCAATTGGAGATGCACACGTCTGCATTGCCTGCGCCGTGCTATGGAACCGCTCCCTATTTGGTCGTCTCCGTTTTCGGCGCAAACTTTGTCATTCCAGAATCGGGCCGTTCTCCCAGCCAAGCGGATTCCCAAGGGACCAACTCCACCGTGGTCGGCACGCATTACTTGCTCATGTGGTTGCAGTGGTTGCCATAGTACTCATTATTCTTGGCCTCGCGCCCTCTTTGCACGAAGGGCAGTGCTCAATCATCCTCGGCGACTTTCAACTGGACACAGTTGAGGTCGTGGGCTCCCCATTCCATGTCGCCATTGTCGCAATAAAGCAGCGCTGAAAGCGTGGCCACAACATGAGCATGAACACAATGCAAAAGCACGAATTAAGAGAACGATTTCGTCCATTTCCACCCCGTTTTACTCCGTGAACTTCCAGCAACTCGTAATTATTGGATTCCTGGCGATGCCTCTGCTCAGGAACCTCCCTTGACGACATGTGCACACTCTGCAAGAACTTTTAGGGACAACTAGACTTTGCGGCACTGCAACTCTTGGAAAGTGACGAGCAATAATCGCTTCTGACGAAGGCAAAGTAGCCTTGGTATCATTTGTTTTCCCCCCTTTTGCAAGGAACCACACTGAAATTCCAGAAGAAATAGACTTTGCATGATGCACTCCATGGACATGGCGCCCAAACGGAATCAGAATGATGAAACACAGGGAGCTCATGGCTTTCACACAAGCTAGCCAGTTCACTTTTACATTCCAGTAAATTTGCATTTCCCAACCCTCGGCCAAGTCTGGGTGTGCACGCACTGCAACTGCTGTCAACTTGAAATAGCCATTGATTGCCAGGACGTTCCCAGCCGCAGCTGTTAGCGGCAGAGAAGCGCAGAGCAGCCAAAGCCCAACAGGAAGGCGACGAGCAGCGCCCCACCACAGCGATTTGCTCAAGGCCTGCACACTGCTGCCCACGCAATCATGTCCAGAATCGCAGCAACCTGAGGCAAGCTGCTGTGATGCGCCCCGCTTCCGTTCTTTTCCAGCGGCTGGCGCACATGGGCCCTGAAACGGAGCCAAGGATGCATCACCCGGCCCCTTGTCGACACGTTGTGCATTGTGGCGGAAGCAACACGGCGCTATCTGAGCAGGCATTGAAACAGTGTGTCAATGGACAAGTCTGCACCAGCGCCAGTGAAGCTTTCACATTCCAAAGGCTAATTCAGCAAAGGCATATAGCCAGTGGAACCAATGTCTTTGCCTTTCAAAGGGAATTTTAGCATTCGAATTCAGGGCAATGCCACCGGCGCCGCCTCTGTGACACTCTGTTGCCGGTACCCTCGCGCTGCGCCCAGAGGCCTTGCGCCAGGCGCCTACTAGAGGGCTCCTTCACTTGTCGAATTGCAACAGCAAGAATCTCACTTGGTCGTCTGAGTGGACTGCCAGAAGAGCGCCAGAAGACGTTGGAAGCGCTGCTGGAAGCACAGGGATGTGGGCAAGGTCCAAAAAGTGGAAAATCGTTATTGCGTGTCAACATGTGGTTCAATAGCGACACACTAGTGTCAGCAATAGTCAATGACCAAATGTGTGTCCATCCCTGCTTTGTAGGAACAAAGGCGGTCTAGCAATGGTGCCAACTTTCCCTTGCACGATTTGCTCAGGCAACGCATTGTTACACTGGATCTCCTGCGTGACACGGTCGTCGGATGTTCGTCAACCTAGCAACTGGCTTTGGAACACTGTTAGCCAACAAGCTCTTGCAATTTGTCTGCAAGCCTTCTATCAAAACAACTGTGTCTTGTTTTAGATATCTTCGATCCGCCTAACCATGCTCGCAAAACGCTTGGGACTCTCCGCCCACATTAGCCCAACGCATTTAGAAAATATTGTCCAAACACTAGTAAAGAATAGGCCAGATGACACAGTCCTGACACGGTCTGCTCAAAATCCAACTGTGTGCTTTCGGCAAATGTGGTCCCAAAACTACATAATTGGTACACACATTGACACAGTTTCAACCGTGCATCCTAGGAAACTGTGTAGTCTCTTGCTTGGTGCAAGGCAAATCCAAGTGTAGCATAAGCCATAGAAAAGCAGGTTTGATGAGTCTACTTTTCAGACAGCAAGTTACTTACAAAATGTGCAATCGAAACAAGGGCTACACGAAATGCTGGGCAGCTGCTCACATGCCTCATAACCAGGCACAAGATTTGGACCCCCGAATGCCAATCCAACAACAACAAACATAATAGGAAAATTATTGATAGGGAAAAATTTTAATAATAGGGTAAAAATTGGATGATAGGGAGATTAAAAACAACACAATAGGGAAACTAGCCTGGGGACCTGTTGCTTGCCAGTGGGAGAAAGAGCAGCACATAGCCATGCACTATAAATCAGTGTGACTGCACCTCTGAAACTACTTGCCTTGCATCCACATGCATCGAAACAACAAATTGCAGCTCTGATCCATTGGATCTAGCCAAATCTGCTTGTTGCAGTGAGGCTTCAGATTACCACCGACTGCCTGCATTCCCTTGGAAACAGCCGCTGTTCTTTGCCAACTGTGGCTTCGGTCTTGATGGGCTGGCCGATGATGGGGCTTCCAAACCAGAAGCTGCGAATCTTTTGGGTAACGGGGTGCCGGATCTGGTACACAAATAGATAATGCTCACCACACGGCTGGAGATGCAGATCATGGAGACACCACTTGGGACAATCGCATTATTGCCATTATCACTCACGGTATGTTCAACAATGAAGCCAAAGCACTGGCACACCATTCCTGCTGCATCACAAGCTCTGACTCGATCCCAATTCTAATGACCCAAAATGCTGTCCCAGGTGCATGGATATGTGTTTGGAACACTGTGAGGCTTATGCTGAGGCTATTGCTGTTGCTGTCGACCAGACATGGGCATCCAGGAATGCATAATACCATATCCCCATTCCTTGCTCCTACATTCTCGTTTCTTTGCAATCTTGAATCCCGGTCTCTTAGTGTCATCAACAGTCTCTAAATCAGATGAAAAGATTTTGTGCGTTATTGTTCCTGCTGTGCGAATGAAATGAAGATTTTATGGAATTTTACACCGCTGTGTTGAAAGGGCGGCACCTGCCCTGGAAGAAGCAAAGCAATGACAGGCATTTCTCTTCTGTGCGATTGCAACGCCCGCACCATTATACAGTGGCATGGTTTGCAACGGAGTCGGCCTCTTTGCTCTACAACTACAATCCCTTGGATGCAATGTGCCAAGCGCACTGAAAACGGCCTGTTTGGCCAAAACGATTTGCATCTTCTGCCAAGGGTTTTGGCAGGAGTTATCGCAGATTTCTGTGAATTGGACAGCTGTCTTATTGACTGTATTATTGGGTTTGCATGGTTACTGGCACCAAAATCACAAAATTGGACTCTCAAATCGATCGTTTAGTACATTAAACATTTAAGCTCTCCAATACAACCTCTTATGAGACTCCAAAATTGAATCATTGAGCTTTGCTCCTCGGAGAAAGGTCAGTGTCTTTACCCCGGGTTGTAGCAACAAAGGATTATGCCACTCCACCGATTCCCCCGACAAGGCTAATGTGCGACAACGGCAATCATCCCACTCTCCAAGCTGCGGCAAAGCAATCAGCAACCCGGAACCCGATCTCCTGCGAAATTTCGCGGACCGCCAACGCAGAACACGACCCATCGCCCTCCGCGGCGCAATGTCCCGAACACCGCACTGCCGCAAATCCCACAAATCCCTGCCTTGCGCCGCCCCGCACCTCCACCGGCCGCACCCCCTCCACCACGCTGCTCAGCCCCTCCCGCAGAAAGCAATTGAACGACTCGACGTGCGGCTGCACGAGACGCCTGTACGCCGCCAGGACCTCGTCGTCCAGCACCTGCGCGGCGTTCATCGCTGCTCTGCGAGCGAGGGCGACCCAGGATGCCAAAGCCCAGCAGTCTCGGACAGCAGGGCCCAATGTACTGACAAAATGGCGTCCTGCTCCTTGTTTGGGTACGTTATAGGTTATAGACAAAAGCAGTAGACGCAACATATAGATGGGTGCACTAACGTGGAAAGTGCACAGGAAAAAGGGAGACTAATCCCACTTTGGGGTAGGGGGTGCCGCCTGAACAGTGACTTCAATGACTCACTGCAATTTTCCAGACGTTGTCATGGCACATGTACAGCGCCAATGAACTGCTGTATGTGTTGCTACGTAGTGCGCCAGGCGCTCATGTCACAGGTGGAACGGGCGTAGTAAACAGGGTTGAGATCACGTGGTTTGGTCCGTTTCCAATGCTGTCTACATTTCCAGTGGACGATTCCACCAATTGAGCAAGATGTGGACATGTAGTAAAATGGTGTGACACGTGCAATTTGCTTGTCACTATGTGCAGGCTAGTCGAGTTTCATCAAACGATGGGTATTCTTCGCTGTGATGTTCTTGGAAGTACTACCCTTGGGGAATCGCGAAGGCGGAGTCCTCGGCCGTCGCGAGGTATATCTCATTGACACTGTACAGCAATATAGTGCAAATGACAGCATTGACGGCGCAAGACGTTGAAGCCACTGACCAGGTAGCCGTCAGCGACACCGTTTGAAGCGCGCCAAAGCACGCACAAAAAGGATGGCCTGCAGCCGGAAATAACTCATAACTAAAAGGAAATAACTCATAACTAGTAACTAATAAAAGTTAAAACAAAGCTCTGAAAACCAAATGGGGAGGAAGCAGCATAACCAAAGAATATTCTGATCTGGAAGTGTGGCATAGTTTTCAACGTAGTTCCGAACGGCGATCGATGCCGAGCTCGACGCTGGCGGGCATTCCGTAGACGTTCGACGACCAAACCCAGATTGATGACGAAAAGTTGGGTAAGCTGAAGGTGGCAACAATCGCCACACAGGCAGCGTGGAGGGGCCCCCTCGTCAGATCCAACTCGCATGCTCCCCATGTCACCATATGGCGTTGTCCGGACCGACGGATGCTGCTGCTCTTGGTGGACGATTATGACATGACGACGTTGGTCCTGCGTTTCACCAGCACGGCCGCGCCAAGGACGCGCTTCGTTCAGCATCCAATAGACGAAATTTGCGGACTTGCCCGAGCCCTTGGCAATGAGTGCGTGCACTGGCAGCAAGTAAAAGAGCCATGAGGGAGAATGTGCGCCCGATGTTGCCGCGTTGGAAGAATGCTGAAATTAGAGCGACGTGTTTTTTGTTTGATGCTTGAGCTCAAGAGATCACGTGACTCGACAATCACGCTTCTGATCGAGGTGATGCAACTGTGTGTTTTTGCCGTTTTCATGTGAAAAAATCGGTTTTCCCCCCAAAGGGCCTATAAATTCCGGCCGACCGTGCCAGCCACTCGTGTTTGCCGCTATCTCCCCCTCTCTTCCCGTTTGCTCCAAAACCGTTGTGCTTGCGCAGAGTGCCACGCAGGTCCTGCTGTTGAGGCGGACAACATTGAGCACGTGGCCGGTCGTCAAAGTGCGGTGCGTGAAGCTGCCCCCTGGGGGCACCTGCGGCCTACGAGCGTTTCCTTGACCAACCCTACCCCCGCGCTTTTCAGCCGCCCTCCCATGGCTATTGGAAATGACCACTGTGGAAACAATGCAAACAGGCGGGCGGCGGGAAGGTTTAAGAGAAGGGCGCGCGCGGAGTTGAGGCAGAGGTGGCCGGCGAGCTACGGTCAAGGGTGCGCAGGGGCGACTTGGCGATTTCGCGCTTCTCGTCTGCTCGCGATCAAGCACGCTTGGGCGGGAGAAGGTTTTTCAGTTCGATGAAGCGCGTTTGGAAATTTCGGTCGCCAGTCGCTCACGGCGGCTGCGGCGACGAGGTTTTGGCGGTCAGCGTGGGTCGGATACTGTAGCACTGAACTCGGAGGCCTTGTGGCCTGCTGGCGTCGACCCTAACGGCCATTCTGCATTGAGAACTGTACATCCAGCGCGGGAAGACAGACAAATTATGGAGAGCGCAATGCGCGTATCGTAGAGGGTTGAGAACATGGTCCTGAGAGCTACACAAAGCAATGATATTTTGAATCGTTTGTAAATATGCGCATTAGAGCACTTGTTGCTTCTTCCGCACCAAATACAATAGACGCCGAGTGTACATGTGCAGCAAACTATTGTTGGCGGCACTGGATCGAAGAAAGAATAAATGCCATAATCGCAATACGCCATTATGAAAACATTTCCGAACCATCCAGATTAGCCGAAATCAGATCGTTTGAAGCCCCACTGGCTGAATTCTTGTGTCTCAGTTAGCACACCTGTCGATCTTCATTCTGCCGTGTCCTTGGACGCCAACACACCCCACACACACATATACACCAAGACAAACACGCGGAACGTCTTTGATGTTTTCCCTTGTACCGTTTGGGAAAGAAATGTGACTGATCCTCTAGCCCTAGTGGCAGTGCTTGCCATACACCGTCGAGGTACAGTTTGGCGGCAAGCAGCGTTATGAAAACTTGCTTGGTATGCATGAATTGCCATTGTGAACCATTCATCTCACAATGCAGCGCGATGCATCGTCACCCGTTGCGATGACTAATTGTCACGGTAACAACCTATCATCCATTTGCACTTCCAATGGCAGCACTTGTTCGGGATTTGTTCTTTGGATCATGTCTCCTCAGCCTCTTTTCGGGCACATGTGCTGATCACATCAGCGAAATAACACTGAACTTCATGTACACGTTGTGCTTGAAAAATGTCTGAACAAATGATTGGCACCATATAGGCGATATCGGAATTTGCTTAAATGAATTCCACCTAATACTAGAACATTCAGAATGCTGCCGATGGTTACCAGCAAGACTCACGTAGATCCCTGTTTGCGGACTATCACAGACATCTGCAGCCTCCAAATGTCGCATGAACAATCCATATTTCATTGCCAGCTAAGCTCCTGAACATATGTTTACCAATATCGCGGAAATCAAATGTTTTGGTGATGGCTGTGTACATTTTTTTGTCTGCCTCTAAGAGAGAGGGAAGAGGAGGCTCGAGGGCAACGTCGAGGGGGCAAGGTCGAGGCAAGGTCGAGGCAGGGTTAGGGTCAGGAGCAAGAGCA